AAACTTGTATAGGCCACTTGCCAAGACCTGTGCAATCCTGCGATGCAAATTGGATTACTTGTAGCATTTCGCAACTTTACAAGAGTTTATAGGTTTTGTCAGGATGAGACCTGTTATTTAAGATGACCGAGCAAAAGGAAATAGTGGAAGAGCGAAGTGCCCCCTCTCCGTCTTCACCCCCTCTCTTCCCACCTCCTAGCCGACCAGCGCTTATGAAGTACAGCACTGTTGCAGACTTAGACTGCGTTCCTCGTGTGAGCCTGAACACTTGCTTCCCTGCTTTGGAGCCATTTCGATTTATCTGAAAGCCACCTTTCCAGTATAGATGGATATTTGGGCGTTGAAAAGTGCGAAAAACAATTCTGAGGCAGTTGACGAAGATTCATACCTGAATCTAAAGGGAAGTAGGTCCGGAGTGTGAAACCACTCCTTTCGTGCAAAGAGGCGTGGTTGAGCAACTCAGCAACCCGGCGCCAAAATGTCTCGCCTTTCTGGAACCGAGGCCGGCATTAAACTCAATATTCCCTCCAAAAGACCGGGGTTACCCGAGCATTGGTAGCAATCGAATCAACAGCCTGTCACCACATCGTAGCCTATCCTAACAACATAGTCCATGTCATCGTAATTGCCTTGGCAATCATATGTTGCTTCTCTAAGATGGCAACGGGTACGGGTAATTAAAGCGACGACGTGATGTCAACCGTTTTATGACGTATCAGCCTTCATTGTCAAGCGCGCGAAATTACCACGGAACAGATGGACATTGCACGGGGAAACTCGGCCCATATGACGATAGAAATCGGGACGGACCATGGGCACACAACAGAAGGTGGTCCCTAAACTGTTTGATTTCGTCACGAAAACCAACTGCTTCGACAGCTCTGCGCTGGGCAGGGAATTGGGATCCCCGCGAGGGGGTCGTCCGTTTTAGAGTCATAGGGGCAAGGCTGTAACTGTCTTCCTTTAAGAAAAAATGTTTCTGAGATTGACTTTTCTCCTTCTTTCCTGTTTCAATTCAAGTGCACTGTATACCTCATAACCCTCCCGCTCAACGGCCGTTAAAGATTACGAAAAAGTGGTAGAAACCAAGATCTAATAAGATGGTAGGTAGGATGGGGGAGGAAGGGGAGTAGCACCAGAAGAGAAAGCGTAGAGGACGATTCGTATTTTGCACAAATT